GAAAGCCTCCCCAACACTCAGTCGTACATCCGACTTGGTGTATCCCAAAAACTTAAAACTGCTTGTCTATCTCTTATGCGCGAAAACTAATCTTACAGGAATTGACGAGAAGTCGTCATTCCACGGCTTCGTACAGGAACAAGACAGTCTCTCAGAACTTTCTTATTTTCTGAGAGTATAAATCCGGCTGATGGTCCGGGTTTTTTCTCTCTTTTTTTGCCCCGGAAGAATATTCGGGGGCTACTCGAGCGGAAAATCTCCAGGCATGGAGCTGGGCTCGCTATCCATCCCAGCAGAAGACGAAGAAGAAACAAAGACAGGAAAACCCACGCCAACAAAGCCGATTGATCCGAAGAGGAGAGAGAGAGTGAGAGCGCAAAGCCGGGACGTCTTTTGAATTGATGAGCCGTGGATGAAAGGCAAGATATGGAGAGAACAAACAAAAGACCTCTGAAACCAATGGAAGGCCAGCTGGTTTCTAAACCTTCACCAAGAGGAAAATAAACCCCCGGCTTATTGGGGAGGGGAGAATGATATTAACAGAGACTATCTTAAGAAAATCTTACAGATTTCAGGATCTGCTTCAAACGGAAAAAGAAATACACAAATTCTATCTTGGTCATTACTCTGTGGTTCAATTCATTAACATTTTTCAACCCATTACGATCTTAGCCCCTTAAATGACAGTCACCAAAACAATTGCATATGCACGTATACCTAAAGTCGTGTGACAATATGCACTGTGTTAATAAAGCTTTATTGCGCATGATTAATTGAAGTCGAGTTGTTACTGTGATGCAAACAAAATAATGATCAAAGATTTTTTTCACCTAAGTCAATGTACGGGTAGGCCTACAAGCGTGCCAGAAGGGTGATTGGCCATTGTGAGGAATGAAGTCCACGCACTCTCAATGCACACATTCAAAAGTCAAAGAGCAACAGGTGCAGCCAATCTTTTGTATCTAAACATCTTAAACTGAAACGTTATCCCAACATTTGTTTCTTGATTATTTTGATGAAATAAAAGTTTCCGTTCCTTGCGAACATTTCAGGCGATGAAAAAAGAACTGTGGTTTCAATTATTTCATTTCTGATTTACCTTCACACTTTATAGGTCTTATGGATATAAGATGGATATAAGACCTTTATACATTTTTATGGATTGAATTTTGTTACATGTTCAAGAGTCAGAAGATGGGTTAAATGAAAACCATTTGATTTGTTGCACCTGACGCCAATTTCTTGGTTATGTTAAAGCCTGTAGAGGGTTGACGGTGATTTTGTTCAAAAAGTATTTTCCGACAAAACTTAAATTCTTGAAGTCTTTTTGCAGATGATATGCGAAGCAATAAGTGGCGTCAGACTGCAACATTCTTTCAGGAAACAATTTAGATTCTTTAGGCGTCGCAGAGTTAACGCCCAGCAAAGAAGATACACGCCGCCTTCGTTTCGTGCAGTTTGTTGAGAGTTAGGAAATATCAAAAAAATCATGAACGCTAGCAGGGTTAAATCCTCAGACTTCAATAAGATTTACAAACAACCTTGGGAGGTAGGATTAAAACAAAATTTCGACAGGGCTTTTGAATTTTTCCAAATACACATTCAAGGTTATTTGTAGTTTCAAAAAGGGCGGGGCTTCACGATGTCTTCTTTTCTCAACTTGGTTTCGTTTTGATGACACACTACACAAAGGGAACTAAATTACGTATCGTGTGCATTCAACGTCAGTGGGGCGAGCATCCACGCTAAGTTCGCGATAGTATAATCTCATAATCGGTTTCAAAATGCAGATGTCCACAGGTTCATAAGAAATAATTGGAATTTTATGTCAGCCGTGGTGGGACCACAATGTTTGATCATTCATTTCAATCTCTGCAGAAGTTGCAATGAAAAAGATAACTAACAAAGACATTTTTCAGCGTCCATCCTTGCACGGACTGAGTGACTTCATGGGTCCTTTTCCCCGTATCTTTTGTCACCGTTGCACTGAACAAACAGTTTACACACGAGGGCCGGAGTCAGCACAACCGAATGCAAGAAAAAAAATCAATGGCGAAATCTGGATTATTTCTTTGAACGAACAGATGTGAACGAGTTGTGAAATATTCTTGTCAGCGGGACAGATAACTTACCAATTTTTTCATCCCAGGTTCCTGGTGCTGTAGTCTTCGATCAGGAGGTGTACGTATTCGTAGTGGTGGGATCACAGGGAGGAAATTCACTCACATACAGTGCTCCCCTCGCCAAGAGGAAGCAACCTTTCCGTCCTGATCTCCTAGTCCTTTCTCCGTTTCAGTGAATAGTTTAACCCTCTCAAAATGTATCAAAAGCGGGGGCATCTCTCTGAAGCGGAGCAAGGCCGCCGTTTAACAAAAGGCTTTCACTGGGATCTCTCCCTAAGTTGGCAGGACAATCGGTCATTGGACGGCAGGGTGGCTTCAGCCCTTTTGGCATGGTAATTGCTGCATCCCTGCTTGGCTGCACCTTCCGTCCGGCCGTGTTCGCGGAATGCTGCCTTCGATTCGCCGGCAATGCATGGTCTGTTGTCACCGCTATAGGAGAGATAAAAGAGAGAGACGTACGGCGATGGAACCACATAAAAATAATTATGACTATCCGTGCGCGACCGCCGGCCATATTAAATGTGGTGTTACGTAAGAGTTACGTAACAGCGGAGCGAAAGACCCTTTATATATGTCATTAACATCCCTGAACTTGTGTTGTATCATTCGAATGCGTGCGAACAAAATGCTGGGGATTTA